GCTGGCAGGAGAAGTCTTGACAGAGCGCCCTGTTTTGGGGTGTGCAGGGGGTTTCCCGTCCGGCAGCGGAACCTGTCTGTCTTGCGGGGAGATCAATGTACAGCAGATGGCGTTTCTGCTCAAACCAAGGCCCAGCTGCTGCGTACATCGCGGGAGATTTGCAATTCCCTTGGGAGCTGGGGGGGAACGAAATGAGCCGGGGTGCGTGGTGGGAGAGATGGTTCTCCTGCCCCCCACCCCCTTGGCTGCAGTGAGCTGGGAGGTGGTGCTGCCTCTCCTGGAGGAGCCTGTGACTCTAAATTACTTAATAAAGCTGCCTGATAGCAGGGAGAATTCCCCTAAAAGGCCTTGCTGGGTAAATAAGCCTCTTTTAAACAGTTGTGCTGGTTCAGTAGCGCAGGCTCGCAGCTGGAGCTGGTGGGATCCGGGATGGAGCAACACCAGGTGTGGGTCAAACAGTTGTATCTCACCGGCAAGGTGCGTTGGGCATCACTGCTGTGGAACTTACTTGTCCTGTCATACTCACTCACAGCAACTCGACTGGAGACTCCAGACGTTGGCACGGTCAGCGTGCCGGTTGGAGGACGGTCCCTTTAGGAGTGAGGGAAGCCGTGCTGCTGGTACCTGCCTCTCTTCTGGCACAGTCCGGGCAGCGAGTGCAGTGCCACAGCGCCGCAGAGCCCCGGCGTCCTCAGCCCGGTCCTGGGGACAGCTCTGCGGATGGCCTGCGGTACGAGTGCTGCAATCAGGTTTTCTTGAGCCATGCAGGGTTAAATCTGCTTTACCTGGGAGAAGTAGCTTAAGAATTAAAATTGAATTGACCTCCTGAGCCCAGCCTGCCACGAGAGGGGCTGTTTTCGGGCACAGGTAAGGAGCAGCATCTTGTTTTTGCACAAGACCTGGCCGTGATGGTGCCTACCTGTTCTCTGGGCTGGGATCTCAGGTCCCAGGAGCATTCACTGGTGGGGTTTTTTTTGGTTTTTTTTGTTTGTTTGATTATTTTTTACGAGCTGCTGGGCTCGCGGTGTTTGCTGTGAGTGCTGTGGAATGGGTCCCCACAGCATTGCCGGGCTGTCCTCGTGCCCTGCTTGTGGCCGCAGGATGCGTTCATTGCTGAAAGCCGTCCAGCGCGCAGTGTCATCCTCGCTGCGGGCGCCGCGCGGGGCTCCGCTCTCCCTTTCCTGCACCCGCAGAGGGCAGCTGCCGCCGCAGCCGCCTCCGTCACTGCTGGACCTGAACCAGCGCAGCCCCCGGCTCCCAGAGCCTCATCCCCGGGCTGGGAGATGCCGCTTCAGCCCAGGGCGATGGGACGCAGCCCTTTGCTGCCGGTCTCGGGGGGGACAAGTGTCTCTATATAGCTGCTGCCTCATGTCGTGAGCGTGTGGGGGAGCTCAGGGTGGCAGGGACCCCGCGGGACTCTGCTGGCACTGCAACACCCTGCGCAGATACAACTCGCCCTCTCATCACCTGGGGACAGGGGCGATGCTGTGGCTGCAGGGAGCAGAGCCACCGCTCTCGGAGCTCACCACCACTCCCAGCCATGTGTCCCCCCCTACACCCCATGCAAGGAGGGCGGCTGTCAGCATTGATGCTCGGATGCTGTGGCATTGCTGGGCAGCCTTCTGCTGTCAGCTCTTACCGCCTTAAAATGCATTTTCCTGGAAGGGTAACTGGCAGCTGTGCTCAGCGTGGGGTGTCCGGGGTGCTCAGCACTGGGATGATGCCGACTGTGGGCGCGCGCCGGACACGTGTGGGGACCGTGTGCTGGCAGTGACCCCGGGAGGTGCCAGGCTGTGGGGGGCTGGCCGGCCTCGCCGGATGGGGGGAGATGTCGCTGACCCCGGCGACGGCAGGAGCGCGGGATGAATGAAGGGGCTGTGCAGCGGCGCGCGGCCAGCGCACATCTGCTGGCCACAGTGCCTCCTTTGTGCCAGTGCCGGCTGCGCTCCCTGCCCCGCTCCCGGCTTTCTTCCCAGGCTAGCGGCAGCTTACTACGGCGATCAAAGATTTTAAGGGAAAACCAGAAGTGGCTGGAGTATTTATTCCCCTTGAACTTCACCTCCCCACTGCACTTGCTTCTCTGGATGCCCACAACCCCATCCCTGGGCAACGTGAACTGTCCTCTGGCGGCTCGACTCCTTGTCTTGTCACTGTCCCTGTCAGCCCAGGTCCCCGGGCCGGGATCCCGGGCGGGAGCACAGGATTTACCTCCAGGAGCCGTTCTTGGCACCTCCACTGTGTGCTGGTGCAGCGCTTGCTGACGGTGCACGTGGCGGGGGTTCCCAGCAGGGTGGCACCATGCCCACCACCGATCGATGGCTGCAGCTTAAGCAACTATTTTTATTTTTCAGCGGTATTTTTTACCCTGTCCTGGCTCTTGCCCTTGGTGCTGTGAGCACGCGTGTTGCGGGGACCTTGGCTGCCTCCTGGCTCCGTGGCGGCAGGACGATGGACGTGGTTTCTCGCTACGAGGACGGCGCAGAGCTGCAGGATCGGCTGTGAGCTCCACACCACCGCGGCAACAAGAGACCAGCAAAAAGAGCGGCTCTTTCAAGGTTTGATCTGGTTCCTATAGAAACTGGAGGTTGCTCCTGCCTGGTGCCGGTGCCAGCAGCCGGCGGTGCGCCCCGGGGAGCAGTGCAGCTGGGGATGAGCGGGAGCGGGGTACAGTGCTGCGCCTCGGTACTGCCGCTGCCTTTCCACGTGCCTCCGTGCCCCCTCTGCTTCCTCTCTCTGTTTCTGCCCCTCGGTGGGGCCGTGCTGAGCGCTGACGAGGCTCTGCATCCCCCTCCAGCTGTGTGGGGCTCTCCGCACCCCGCAGGACCCCGAGGCTGGATGTGCCGCTCCTTGCCCTGGCAGGGTCCTTTGTGGGATAAGGGACTCGTTCCTGCCACGTGTCAGGTCGCGTGCTGCAGCATGGTGCTGCTGGTGTTCCTGGCCACGCCGTCCCTGCGGTGACGCCTCTGCTCCTGCCCTCCTTGCTAAAAATCACCACCAGAGAAGCTTGAAAACCTAAAATGATGTCCTGGGGACCCCTTTGCCCTCGTCATGCCCTGGGGTAAAAGATCCTGGGGTGGTGGATCTCATCGGCTCCTGAGCCCTGAGGGTCTGGGCTTCTCCCCCACTGCCTGACACTACGGGCTGTCCCACCACAGCAGGGCGCGGAGGTGCTCGTGCTACTTGATGGGCTCGTGCCTCCGAGGGAGGTCTCGGTCTCCCCGGGTGCCAGAGCAGCTCCTCTCCTTCCCAGCAGCAACCGGTGGCAGGTTGCGGACCTGGTGAGACCCTCCTCCTCTCCTGCCCACCCTTTGCAGTTTGCTCCGGAAGGATGATCGCAGCCCTCTGCAAACTACCTCATCCCCGGAGCAGGGGCCAAGCGTCAACCGTGGCGCGGATCCAGAGCAGCTCTGGGGAGCCCAGCACTGCCACCCTGCTCTGCGCCCTGCCCCGGTGCCCAAACACGCGGCTTGGTGCTGCCCGGGCACCCGCCTGGCACCGGCTCTGCCCAGGGGGGACAAAGGTGCCCCGAAGAGCCCCCATTGAGAACGAGTCCCACGGGGCGTGTTGTCCCCCTGCAGCACATGGCAGCCGAGCAGCTCCGCTGAGCCAGAGCCCGTCTGCGGCCAAGCTGGCGGCAGGAGGCTCCTTCCCGCTGTCCTCGCGCTGCTGCCGGGTTTGTTCATCCTGGCAGCATCCCGGCAGCGCTCCCGGCCAGGGCCGAGTGCCGGCAAGAGGAGCCGCAGGATGGGCCCCGTGGCCTCCTTTCCACTGCTGCCTGAAGAGGGCAGGGATATTTTAGGAGAATGTGGTGACAACACCACGCTCCTGTGTTTTCACCCCCCCTTCCTACCTGCCCGCTGCGGGAGCGTAGCTCTGCTGGCTCCGGTGGGACCTGCTTGGACGGGTGCCATGGGGACGGCGTGCGCTGCCTCCGTGTTGAGGAGCTCGATGGCCGTGTCCCCCAGCGCAGGATGTTTGCGCCCCACTCCTGGGATGCCCGCGGTGGGTGCCGATGCTCATGCCTTGGCGCTGCCCCCCTGTCCCGGCCGGCTGGTGCTGCGTGGCTGTGAGAGCCTGAGCCGCTATGGCATGATGTGGCCTCGTGCCGGCTGGAGGGCAAAGGGCCAAATCCTGTCCCACCACTGTGCTGCTCCTTGGTGACCCCGGGCACTGAGGGTCCCCTATAGTGCTGCTGCAGAGGCCACCCGTGCCCCAAACCTGGGGGCTGCAGTCACCATGGCCGACGTGCCGTGGGCACCCACTGGCCTTTGGCTGTGGAGGGGCTGCGTGTCCTCTGTTTGTGGGGATGAGTGGGATTCGGCCCATGGGTCCCTGTGGCACTGCCCGCCCCACATCAGGTCCCTCCTGGGAGCCACCGCTCTCTCAGCAGGGGGGATACAGGACCTGCTGCTGGATGGGGGCTTCCCAAAGCTGGGGTGGGGCGGGGGCAAAGACTGTCCCACAACGTATATTTGCAAAGAGTAGGGAGGGGTTGGGGCAGAGATGGTGACCCCACACACCTTCTGCA